CCCCCTTCAGCATCACTTTTTTATCTCTCGGAGCCATTTGCAGCTGTTACGGCGGTTCTCCCCGCCGCCTCTGCAACCTTGTGTCCCTCCCCCCCCCAAAAAAAAAAGGTCACGGAATTCGGACGGAGTCCAGCCACAGGGACCCGAGGAAGTGGTGCAAGGAGGTGCATACATTTTGGAACACGCAGAAGCCAGGCGCTGCACTCTCCTCCTCTCTCTTACCAGGCAGTTGCCCAACCCTTTGCTCGAGTAGATGTTCAAAGCAAAGCCCTGCAACGGCGGCCAAACCTTCTCTCCCAGCGCCAACAACGGCTACAATATTTGGGCGTAAGACAACGTGGAAACCAAACGGCGGAATCAACTCCAATCTCCGAGGGAATGGATATATCTCTGTCTCTATCTCTAGATATATAGAGATACAGATATATAGATATATTTACTGCCTTAACATTCCTAATTCACAGGCGGTTGGGCTCGCAAGCAGACAGCGAAAGGAAGCCTGCAATTCGCCAACTGAATTCCTGCATAAATACTCGGATGCCGCATTTCCCACCAAAACAATCCTAAACTGGGCACGCACCGCGACACCATTTCTGACTAGGGAAATCACCTGTCCATTTCAGGAAACTTAAAAACAAATCCCAACAGCCACAAGGAGAGGAGGAAGAGACCTCTATCTACCAGGGGGTCGGAAAGGGTCCTTCCTACGTTGCAACCCAGCGCTGCGATCTATTCGCGTCCCTCCCCAGTGCTCCAGGATCGCAGCGTTTCGTCTCCTGCCTTTTTCGTTGGGATAAACGAGGAGGCAGTTTAACGCTTGCATTTCTCTCCCCCACCCCCCGCTTCCGAAACGCTGCGGAGATCGGCCATTCGCAGAAAAGCTACCGAGAGAAAGAAATCCGAGACCGAAATATTTGGGGCACGGAGCCTCTGGAAGAAGACATCCCAGAAAGGGGGCTGCAGTTCTTACAACAGATGTCCAACGGAGAAAAGCAGGCAACCGATTTCCCCCTTTCGGATCAAACCAGCTAGATTTTTCCTTAAGATTTCGCCCTTCAGTTTTGCTCAGTGCAGAGCCCAAAAGTGGCATTAACTTCAAAGGTGCTTCTGCCCAGCTATAAACCGGGCGAACCGGGCATCTTTGACTCATCGCCAACAAAACCAGGAATCCCCCAAGCCCCCCAACCACCAGTGCTGAAGGAAACCTGGGCTATTTTTAGCTCCCTCCCCCTGAGGGGGAAAAAAACTCTAAAAGCATGTTTGGACCAGTGTTGTAGTGACAGAAGCAGAAAAATTGGAGTCATTGAGCCTCCGAGCCTCTCGATTTCTCCATCGCTGGTCCTTTTAAACACAACACCGATATTCATTTATAAAACTATCGCGGTTGGGACAGAAACTTTCCCTTTGCAAATCAGCCTCCTAGATCGAGGAAGCCGATCGCTTTGTAGATCTCTTCTCCTCTCTCTCTCTCCCCCCCCCTGTCCTCTCCAGGGAGGGAAAAAATGAATTTAGCTTTGGCTAAATGGGATGGGACTCGCTCTGCAAAGATGCAATCTTTTGGTTGCGTGCGGGAGCCTGTATATATCTGGGGAGGCGAGGGCGAGGGCAGGAGCGATGCAATTGAGGAAGGTCTCCTTTCTGAAATTGGAAGGGCGGGGAGGAAAAATCCTTGACATGTGAAATAAGTCCACAAATAAACGAACGACCCGTTTTATTTCAAAAGGAAGAGTCCATTGAATAGCTCACATCGCAAAGCGCTCTTGGCCTCCACGACCCCCCCACAACAAAAAAATTTTTTTAAAAAAAATGGGGGGGGGGGGGGGAGGAAGCATGCATGCATAATTTAGGACTTTGGTGCATTGGGTCCAAGCCCCCCCTCACCCACCGGCCCCCCTCGGAAGGGGTCAGTCCACTTACCTAGCTGCACAGCAAGGACCAGAGAAATGTATCTGCCGCTCAACTTAAGTCCCATCCTATAGTTAATACCACCATTTGCGAGGTGCAGCTCTTTCTCGTTTCTCTCTCCCTGTGTCTTTTGTTGCCTTTCTGTCCTTCGGCGGCTTAAAGGGGGACCGGGGGGGACGTGGGGGGCAGCTGCAAGCCGGGCATCGCCAACAAGTTCCGAGCCGCCGAGACTTTTGGGTACACCAAGCCTGCTGGGGGGCGGGGGG